CTAGCTGTGGTTAAACCACAACAACTTGTTTTGTCAAAATTCATGTGTTTAAATTGTCTTAACTATTTTAAAGGCTCTTCTGATCTGTTTCAGGACTGAGTTCTCCCTTGGCTTTAGGGTACAGCTTTGGTTTTCCTGTGCTATCTTTGATACATTGCTTGCTTGTTGAATTGCAGATGCCCAAAATAGTAGCCCATGAATAACTTAACACTTGCACCAACCCAGGGGGTTAAAACTGTATCAAGCCTTGAACTTCTACAGTAGCCTGAAGAGAAATGCAACCCTGAAACTGAACTAATGAAGCTTCTGTTCAGACCTGTGACACATCACATGAGAAGGTGAATGAAGCTGCTAAGCCATTGTCCATCATATTTGAAAAATCATGGCAGTCAGGTGAAGTTCCCGATGACTGGAAAAAGGGTAATAAAACCCCCATTTTCAAGAAGGGGAAAATGGATGACCAGACCAGTCAGTTTCATCTCTGTGCCTGGCAAAATCTTGGAGCAGATTCTCCTGGAAGGCATGCTAAGGCATATGAAAAACAACAAGGTGGTTGGTGACAGCCAGCATTGCTTCACTAAGGGCAAATCCTGCCTGACCAATTTTGTGGCCTTCTATGATGGGGTTGTGGAACAGATGGACAATGGCAGAGCAGTTGACATCACTTACCTGGACTTGTGCAAGGTGTTTGACACTGTCCTGCATGACATCCTTGTTTCTAAACTGGAGAGACATCAATTTGATGGATGGCCCACTCAGTGGATAAAGAACTGGCTGAGTGGCTGCATGCGAAGAGTTATGGTTAATGGCTCAATGTCCAGTTGGAGACTTGGGGGTGCTGGTTGATGAGGAACTGGACATGAGCCAGCATGCATGCGCTCGCAGCCCAGAAGGCCAACCGTATCCTGGGCTGCATCAAAAGGAGCATGACCAGCAGGTGGAAGGAGGTGATCCTACCCCTCTACTCTGCTCTCGTGAGGCCTCACTTGGAATATTGTGTGCAGTTCTGGTGTCCTCACCATAAAAAAGGACATGGAACTATTGGAACAAGTCCAGAGGAGGGCCACGAGGATGAACAGGGGACTGGAGCACCTCCCGTATGAAGATAAGCTGGGAAAGTTGGGTCTGTTCAGCCTGGAGAAGAGAAGGTTGTGTGGAGACCTCATAGCAGCCTTCCAGTATCTGAAGGGGGCCTGTAGGGATGCTGGGGATGGACTCTTCATTATGGACTGTAGTGATAGGACAAGGGGTAACGGGTTAAAACTTAAACAGGGGAAGTTTAGATTGGATATAAGGAGGAAATTCTTTAATGGTGGTGAGGCACTGGAATAGGTTGCCCAGGGAAGCTGTAAATGCTCCCTCCCTGGCAGTGTTCAAGTCCAGGTTGGACAGAGGCTTGGGTAGCATGGTTTAGTGTGAGGTGTCCCTGCCTATGGCAGGGGTGTTGGAACTAAACTTCAGGTCCTTTCCAGCCCTACCTGTTCTGTGGTTCTTTGATTCTGTGACTCATCTTTCTGTCCTTTATTCTGTATACTAATGTCTTGAAGGACCAATGTTGCTTTTTCCCGCCACAGATGATGGAGGTTTACTTGCGTTAACATCTTACTATTAGCATCTTTTGTATTCAAGGGAGGAATTTAGACTTCCTTTGTTACTAGAGTAAGCTTGATGTCTGCAAAAACCAGAAAATGCATCACTTTGAGTTGCAGTTTGCTTTGTAGAAACCTTGATTTAGAAGATTTAGAGCTCTGAATTTTATTCCTTAACTACTTCTGTTGAGTAAATAACTTGATATTTGTTAGTTGATGGTGGCTGTTTGAAGAACAGTTGTAAACCTGTGTTTAACGGTGAAATCTTACTGTCCCTAAGCTTAGTTTTGTAAAATTGTATAGACCTGTTATCATAGCATTTCTCATTGCTGCATGTGTTTCTATATACTAAGTGCCACTGGCTCTGGCTTGGAAATGTTTTTGGTTCCACAGCCTACATTCTAGTTAGGAAAGTGGATGGTATTTATGCTTTCAACTGAATTTTGGAGTTATGCTACTAGCAGCCAGACCTGAGTGAGCTTTTCATAGTCAGTATGGGCCCAATACTATTCAGTCTTCAGAAGTGATCTGGTTGATGGAGTTAGATACATAATCAGAGTTTGAGAATTATTTCCAACTGGGAAAAGTAGTTACAACTGAAGAACTGTGGGGGGTGTCCCTGTCCATGGCAGGGGGTTGGAACTATATGATCTTAAGGTCCTTTCCAACCCTGACTTTTCTATGATTCTGTGAACTGCAGAGACATTGACAGGTTGGAAGTTTGGGCCAACGAGAATGGCATCAGGTTTAGCGAATGTTAAGGCCTTCTCTTGAAACGCATTAATTGCGCTCAACAGTTTATGCTGGGGGTTGACTGGCTGGGGATGGCTCTGCTGAAAAGGAACTGAAAGTCCTAGTGGATAGCAAGCTGAGCATGAGCCAGCAATGTGCCCTGCAGCAGAAAGGCAAGCAGTGTCCTGGGTCTGCATCATCAAGAGCATAACCATTAGATCAAGGGACATGGTTGTTCCACTGTACTTTGAGCTTTCAAAGCCACAGCTGGGAATGGTATCAGGATGTGGTCCCCTAGTTTAAGAGACTGAAAAACTGTAGAGGCCCCAGTGGAGGCTTGTGAAAGTGATTAGAGGGTGATAGAAACCCTTTCAACCAAACAGGAATGTTGGAAGGATTCTTTCTTCAGCTTAGAGACGAGGAGGATTGGAGATGACCGCTTTTTTAGCTCCTGTAGATAGCAGAGCAGCTTAGTGGTCTCAAAGAATGGACTAAAGGGAAAACTGAGCCACAATTAAAGACAAAACTTGAATTCTTTTCTTTACCCAAAATACTTAATCTTGTAGGTAGGCCTTTCTGTAGGTTGTATACCTTGTGTGCAAACACGAGCTTCTAGAATGTTTTGGAAAGCATGATATTTCATTGCCATCACTAGCCTGTGATAAAGAGTGTCTTTCCCTTATTTGTAGAGCTTTTACAGCAAAAATCTCTAACATAGGGATTGAAATTGCCAGTTACCTTTTGTACCGGGGCGGGGGAGTTTAACTGTATTTGGAACAGTATGTAAACAGTGCTGAAAGTATTTTTTTTTTTTTTTTTTAAGCTGTAGCTTTGAGTGACAAATCAGGCTCTCAGCTATGAAGTCCTGTAATGCTGAGCAGGTAACTGATAGCCTAACTTACTCTCTAGGAGTCTATGGTAAAACCAATTCTAATACTTCATACCTATAAAAAAAGTCATGTAGTGCAAGTTGTCAAAGATCTAGCTGAATCTATTCTTTGCTAGTATATACTTCAAGAAGGAAAATACTTTTCTCCTACTTTCAATTCTTTTCAGTGATTTAACTTGTACCACTGTTTCCTTGAGTTTGAAGCCTCTTGAGAGAGACATATGCTGTCTGCTTGTTGAACTTAAATGACACTATTCCAATAATTTACTGGTAATTGTCACTCTGAACACTAGATAACTAATTCCATAGTAAACGAACAAGGCTGCCAGACTGTTTAAAATTTCTGTTTCATGCTTATGTAACCTAATACTAGGAGGAATGTTTCTTGAAATCATGAAATATTGTCACTTGCAGAGTGAAACTTAAATTTGTGGACTTGGTGTCAGATATTTATATTGAAATGGTTATGAATTTAACTATTTAATGTGGTTTAGAGCTACAGTAATAGTAAATAAGACCCCTTTCTTAAAGGGGCTTAGAAATGGGTGTTGGTAGCAGGGTATTCAGCATGTAGAAAAATACCCCAAAAAAATGGACTGTGTCTTGCTCTGAGTACAATGCAGGAGACATTAGTATGTCTAAGTAGGTTCTTAAGCAGGTCAAATCAAGTCTTGTGTGCTTCAAGCTCATGTGAACTGATAGCACGTATGGTGACATTTATAACACTAGCATTTGTATTATATCTATTCTCAGTGTGAAATGTAAAGCAGTGTTTGAAATTGGGAGTAGTATTCCTGTGAAAATCCAGAAAACTGCTCGTTTATGAAGTTAGCAAATATTCAGATATCAAGCACTCTAGAAGAACTGCATGTTATTTGTGATTAAGGGAAAGAACAGCCTTCCTGCTGACCTCTGCACCTAGAACAATCTGTCACCCGACAGCCTGCCACCCATAATAACACAAATAAAAAAAAGCTATGGCTGATGTTTTTAGACTGCTTGAGGGAAACTTTGCCCTGTATCTGTAAGACTTAGAGGGTAGCAGGGAGGAAATAGTGCCATTTTCTTGATTACCTCATTTCAAATGTTTCGTTTGTAGTGGAGAACTTACAAACTTTGTCTTGGAAAAATCTGAGCATAGTGCTGATGCAGAAGCTGGTGAACACGTTTAATGGTATTAGGGTTTGCTAGGAGTAAATGCCAAAAAACTTATGAATATGAATGGCTATCTAGGTAGTCTTGGAGTGTAAATGAGTTTAGATGTTCACCATGCTTCTGCCATGTCTCTTTACTGCACAGTTTTTTCTAGTAAATCACATACTTCCAAATTATTTCATTTTAAAATAAATTGAAAACTACTGTCTAAAAGGAAATTGTGTATACTTTGCTTCTAAAACTATTTAAGTTCAATATCTAGACATTCTTATATTGCACAATGTTTTGATTATGGTCTAAAGTGGGAAAGTAAGGTTTTGGGAAGATAATGATTTGATGAAAACCCCTAAAGGGCAGCTTGATAAATCTTCCCTGTGCTATGCTTATGTGAAGTTTCTATATATGCTCTTGTCTCAGTGATCCTGAAATGCTTAAATACCACTGGAACAATTCAGGACACTGGAATCTGCATAGCATGTTTTTTACACTTTACTAAAAAAAAAAAAAAATTGTTTGTCTTAGGAGTAGGGTGGGGACAAAAAAGCTAACAATGATACCTTATAGTTGCAACATACAGCAGTCTTAGCAGATGAAAATGTATGGAAGAAAATTTGAATGTCCCCATTTTATTTTAGGCTTATGGTATGTCAGCTTTGCCTCTAAACTTGATTAAGGGAACTACCAGTGCGGCTTATGAACGTCTAGAGAACAGTGAAGATATTGAAGAAGTGGAGCAACATCTATTAAGGCTTAAATCAAAGGTATGATCTTCACTGTTATCACTTCATTAATGACTCTATTTTTATTTTTCTTCCTTGATTACTAGTTTATGGTCATGCTGTAGAGATTTTTGCTCCAGAAAGAATAGCAAGTCAGAAGTGACTAGCTTGCAGGTATTTGAGTTACTTGAAAACCAATGTGGTCACTACTGTAGTAGCAATTAGGTTTTCTTTCAGTCCTGCAGCAGTAGTTGTTTTTGTTTAGTTTAATAATGGTGCTGATGACCTGAACTCAACCTTCTGCAGTCCTGCTTGGGTATATGGAAGAGATACTTCACAGAGTAATACTACCCTCACTTACTCTGCTACCAGTAAGACATCCTGTTTGTTGATACTCAGTGAAGTTATTAACACTGGATACTTTCTACATGGAGCTGCCATGAGTTAGATTCATCAAACTATTAATCATCTTTGTGAATAAATAACAGGCCTATATATTCTTGCTCCCTAGTTAATGTATCTTGCTGTCATAAATGATTTCTTTATGAAAAGCATATATATGCAAGTCTCTGTTCTGAATCCTGAACACCCCTAGGATGTTAACACCACTTGTAAACCCGTGATGGCTTTGCAGCTCACTGAAAAGCTATGGCTAATGTAAGCATGACACTTTGAACAACTTAGGAGTGCAAGCCCAAGGAGGATAAGATTTATCCTTTCCATACAGGATGCTAGGGATAATCTCCCACCCTTTCTTAACCCTTTTTCAGAAAGTGGTTTGACCAGTGTTTTCAAGCCCAGAGTGGGGGGAAGGGACATTAAGATGCATCGCTTTCATCCTGTGAGTCCTTCTGTGCGGCTGTGTGCTCTGGGACAGTAGACTTCAGTAGCATTAAAACAGTTTCAACAGTTTTCCCTTGATACTTAGCTACCTCTACAGAGTGTGGGCACCTTCAGTATTCTAGAAATCCTGTTGCATAATGAAACCTAAAAAGCAATCTCCCCTCGTTTGGAGTTTATACAGAGTATTGCAACAACAAAGGTATCAGTACTGTTGAAATCAATATGAGAAAAGTGGGAAACTCCTGAAAAATGGAGCATTACTTATTACAGACGGCTGCTGGCTTATGAGAGTTTTCCAGCAACTGGTCTTGTTTATCTAACTAGCAAACAGGATCAAAAGCTGAGAGTCTTTAAGTTATGTCTATATTTTAATGTGACCATTAGTATAAACTAATTTTATTTGGCATATGGATTATCATCAGGATTCTGATGCAGTCTGTGATTGAAATCCTAGTTGTTCAGTTGCATTTGCATGAAGTTGTGAAGCAAATGATGTTACTGAGAGAAATGTACAGTGAAAACTAGAGGTATGAAAGTATGCTACTTAAGCTACTGAAAAAAATTAGCATATAATATGGTCTTCTGCTACTAAGAGACCTGGTAGCTTTATTTTATTAGTATTAAATAAGCGCAGCTTGACTTGCAGCTGTGGAGGTTGGACTATTTACATAAACTGACTTTTTTTCAATTCATTGTAATGCTATACAGGGTATGGAGAATGTGTTCCTGTTAAAAGTACATTGTCATCTCCAATTTAAATGTTACATGTGCCTTGAATGTGGTTTTAATGTTGCAGAATTTGAGAAATTTATCTAAAATAGATGTGCTTTAACTTTACCAGTTGTGAAGTTTCACTATTTTCAGGAAGGCTCTTTTAAAATAAGAGAAAAAAAATGGAATAGTGAATTTCAAAACTTTATATATATATACATATATAAAAATATATTTAAGCTGTAAAAATCTTTATGTAAGAATCAGTTTGTTATATGGCAGCATCAGTGTTAGAAACAATTGTGGTTCAGCTACTTAATGCCTCTTTTGTTACTTTTGCTTATTAGTGTATAACTGAGATACAAAGATGTGCTGCTCTAGTTACAACAGAGTTCAGTGGTGCCTGCTCAGTATTTAGAGGCTCATAATTGGAGTGCATTCTTAAACATAATCATCAAACAATTAGCTAGTACACTCAACTAATCCTTGGGGTAATGATGGCTCTTGTTTAGATTTCTGTAAGGTTAATTTTTGGAACAGCAAGTTGTCTTGTTTTTGTGAGTGCAAGAAACATAGCTGACTGTCTAGTGGAATGTTGGGAAGAAGTACAAATGTAAAGCTTAATATATTAGCTTAATCATTGAACTAGATTGGAAGGGGCCTCTGAAAGTAGAGGTTTGAACCTGATAACACAAAGTAAGGACCCCTTTCAGGTTTTAGATCAGGTTATTCAGGTCACATCTGGGCGTTTTGAGTGTTTCTAGCCATGGAGACTCCCCACTCTTTAAATTTTTTTTAACATCCTCATTGTGGAAAGTTTTCTACCATCTAATGGGACTTCCCTTGTTGCGTCTTGTGACTTGCATTTCATCCTCTTGGTATGCACAGAAACAGTGTGAAATATATACTACAAAGTCTTGCACTATCTTTTTGGTAACCAGTGCAGAGATGGTCGTCCTCTGTCATCAAGGGATAGACGGGCTTTACAACAACTAGAAGGGAGACTAAGGACACTTAGAAGAAGAGAGAGGCACCTGGAGTCTGTTGAGAAAAGCTGGTGGACAAAGTTCTGTGAAGCTATCCGACCTCTAAAGGTAAAACTTTTTCTCTCTTTTTGAGGCTTAAATTGGAATAACTTCCATCTTTCTTCCTGCCATATAAATCATAGGTCAAGTTTAATAATTACCATGCTGGACATCAGCTATTTATTTAATTATCACTTATTATTTAAATTACTGTTACACTACAGAATGGCAGTCCTATGGCAAGCTCCAGGTTCTTGGAAAATCTTTTACTTTGTGTAAACTCTGGTTAAGATTGAAAATTATAAAGTCCTAGGTGACCTACTGTAGTGCCACTGCCATGGAAAATCTGGCTGTCTTTTTCCTCAGGCATGTGAAAATGAGAAGAAAAGAAGGAAGAATTCTAGCTGTTGGGTAGCTTGGGTTAATCTAATTTACATGTAGCCAACAGAAGTGAGAGGTATTTTGAGAATATATGCATTTGGAATGAGCATCTTACTAAGTACTTGATCAGTAGTAAACTAGCTGCATAGAACTTGATACTTAGCAGTGCAAAGGAGACTGTTACTGGTGCAAAGCTTTGATATTGGTCTCTTTTGGTGGTAGGACTCTGATTTCAGTAGATAGGTGGTTTTAAAACCCAGTACTTCTCCAGAACAGTATTGCCATATACTGTATTTTTTGCCAGCTAGATGCAGGAAGAAATTTTAGCATTACTTTAAACTGTAGGCTGCCCTTTGAAAAGCCAGTGGGCTATAAGCGATTTCCTGTAATGTCATTGCTATTGTTAATGCTGAGTACCAATGGAAAGGGCCTGAAATTGCAATTAAACAGAAACTTTCAGTGTGAAATTCTCAGTGGAATTATCTTTCTACAATACATTAGAAATCTAGATTTAGCTATTTCATTTAAAGGACAAATACCCCTGGCTATTCACTTCAGCAGTTTGGATTCTTTGATTTTTTTTTAATAGCTTGTGTAGTTTCTTTAACTTTTCAGTTTAACCTTAGATTTGAGAAATTCACTGGTTATATCTACTGTCTGTAGGGCTTTAATAATTCATTGTATTCTCATAGGTAGTGTACAATGTCATTAGTTACTGTTACTTACAGATTTATGGTCAGGATGACATTTTAGTGCATCTCTGTTCTTGTGGTTTGAATACTTATTTTTCCTCTCAATAACTAGCAGTCACTGTGGATTGTTGACTTGAACTCCCCTTTAGTCTGATTCTTAAGTTCATAATTTTTTTTTCCATAGAATCATAGAGTCAGCTAGGTTGGGAAGGACCTTTAAGATCATCAAGTTCAACCATTACTCCAGGACTGCCAAGGCCACCAGTAAACCATGTCACTGAGTACCTCATCTAAACAGGTTTTGAACACTTTCAGGGACAGATTTTCACATAGAGTAGGGTTATACTATGAAGCATTCTACAAAGCTTGTTTTACTTTCTTGGAGCTGTCCTGTGAAGGTGGTAATGTCCATCACTTAATAACATCTCAACTCTTGCAGGACTGTTTTACTTTAATAGCATTTCAGTTGGCTTTGCAAATATGTAACTTGTCACTTGTTCAGTTTGTGCCTTTCATGAAAAGAAGGCAGTCTTTTAAATATCCCTATGTAATACTTCTGACCAATATAGAAGTGCAGAAGATTTCTTGGAAGTGTTGTAAAGCAATAAACAAAACTCCATCTTCAGTGCAACTTGCATATTGTTCAAGAATATGGCCATTTGTCAGACTTAGAAATTGCATTTGTTGTGAGGCAAGGACTAGATAAGGAGAATGCTATTTCTGCTTTTTCTTTGGGAAGGTCAGATTTATGGGAGCTGCAGACTCTTACTGGGACTGACAGCAGAATAACATGTTTAAGAATAGCACTTAATCTTTGAGGTGCAGTGTTAATTTAGTGTCTACATTCAGACTTCTACAATCATATTGTGTTTGGATAATGTCCTCCTATATTCTTACTTTAATTTTTTACTGCTGAGTATCTATTAGCATGTGATTTGGTGTTAAACAGGGCCAGTTGTTTTTTCTCTGAAGACTAACATTTTTTTTCTCTTTTTGTCATAGAGTTAAGTAAATTTTGAGAACAATTGTTTTACTCAAAGCTAAATAAAACTCAGATGAAGCTGGTTATTTTTCAATTTAGTCAAAAAAAACACATGCAGAAGATCCCAAGTAGATGAGCAATGGTCAGCATGGGTTTGTCAGGTGATATCAAACTGGTCTTAACTTCTTTCTACAAAATGTAACCTTTCCTGTAGATACCTGTCCTGGGTTCAGCAGTAGCAGTCATGTTTTTTCCTTCGTGGTAGCTGGTGCAGTGCTGTGTTTTGACTTCCAGCCTGAGAACAGTGCTGGTGATGCCGATGTTTTCAGTTGTTGCTAAGTGATGTTTACCCTGACCAAGGACTCTGTGAGGCTCATGCTCTGTTAGGGAGGAGGGGAAGCTGTGAGGAAGCAGAGACGGGGCGCCTGACCCGGGCTAGCCAGGGAGGTATTCCATACCACAGCACGTCATGCCCGGGGTGAGGGGTAACTGGGAGTTACCCGGAAGGACACGGGCTTCCGGGTGGGACTCGTTTTCTTGGCCGGTGGTATCGTATTCTCTTCCCTTGTTATTTTCCCTTATCATTGTTGTAGTTGATAGTAGCGGTGGTGATTTGTGTTGTACATTGGTTGCTGGACTGTTCTTGTCTCAACCTGTAGGAGTTGCACTCTTTCAATCCTCCTCCCCATTCCTCCGGGAGCGGGGAAGGGGAGAGCCCCGGTGCGGGGGGAGGGACGGACCTCGATTGTTGTCAGCTCGGCACCACTCACTGGGAGTGAGTGAGCAAGTTACCTGACTGGGTTTAAATCACGACAATACCATATCTACTGCTTCTTTCCTCTGTATTATGGTTTCCCACACTTTCATCTGACAGCAGCAGAAGAAATGTAGTACACTCTAAGGATAGATATAAAAGCTGTTTAGGGAAGAAAACTAAACAACTCCAAAGCACATAATTATATTCATTCAATATGTAAACAAGCGTACAGGTTGTGAAATGTGGAAGCCTAATCAACAATGGTAAGTTGGGACTACTGAATCAGTTTCTCAAGGGGTACTTCAAAACAGTTGTGAACTAACTGAAGAGATGCTCAAGGTGAGTAATGTAAGAAAATAAAGACTCAGTCTTCAAGATTGAGACCTCTATATACAGAGCATGCTCATGGGGCTTAGCTAAAGTAGAGACTCAAAGGCGTGGGTGTCAGTCCAAGCATGTATGCAGGCTGCTACAGAGAACAGTATTCTCTTGATAAATAAGAGTGGTACACTTGAACCCTAGCAAGGGAGAGGGGAAACTGTTCTCCTGTCTAATCTTAAGGATAATAAAGACTTTGTATAGATCGGTCAGTTTCTGTGCCTGCTGTTGAAGGCCCTTGGAGAAGCATAGGTAAAATTCATGTTATCTTGAGGATGGAGGGCTAGGACATTCCTGGGTTTGTTTTTGTTTTTTTGTTTTTTTGTTTGTTTTAATGGGCTTTTGATTTACACACCCCTGAGCCCTGAGAGCTGAATTTGGGGAATTGTAGGCAATTGCTTGAATAACAGCTATGCTGGCACAGCGTTAGTGCAGACTGTAGGCACTGTCAGGAGTCAGTTTAGTTGCCCAAGAGAGGTGGTGTGGCTAAACTGCCAGGCTTTATTGCTGCATTCAGATCTGTATCTTCAACATCAGGGAGGTTGGCAGCATGAAAAACAAGAGGTGTGGATATTTCATGTCCTAAGTTTGCATAATAACTTAATACCAAGTGTTTTGCTTCATCTAACAATAGCTTTAAACCCATGTTTGCCAGATTACCTGAAACTTCCTGTAAAGGTCATGCAACAGTGTGGTGGATTCATTTGGCTGACTATCAGATGCCAACCCAGGTGCTCTCTCACTCCCCATCAGCAGGGTGGAGGAAGAAGTAAGATGGAAAAATATGTGACTGAGAAAGACATGGTGATGACCAGTTACTGTCATGGGCAAAACAGAGTTGAGGAAAATTGCCAGTTAATATTGATTTGAGTGGTCAAAACTAAAGACCATTTAAAACACATTCCTTCCCCCACCCACTGTTTCTCAGGTTTGACTTTACTCATTTAGTCCTGACTCTGGAGTGGCAGAGTGGGGATGTGAAATAAGGAGTTACCATCATTTTGTAAACACTTCTGCTGTTGCTTCCTTCTCATACTTTGTCATTGTTCCAGCATTGGTCTACTCTATGGGCTGTAGTTCCTGTCAAAAGAACCTGCTTCAGCATGTAGGATCTCTAAGCTACAGCTTCCTTCAGAAAATGCCTAATTGTTCTGGTGTGGGGTCTTCTAAAGACTGAGTGTGATTACCTGCTCCAGATAGTCCTCTTTACCAGGCTAGGGAGGAATGTCTGCTCGACTGCCTGGAGCAGCAACATCTTCTCTGATGTTGGTATCTACAGGGCTGTTTCTCTGTTCTTGCTCCTCTCTACTGTCTCTATTCTCCTGCTTCTTACATGTATTTTTCTACGGGGCCACCAGCTTGACGCCTGAGCTCATCTTTGGCCAGCAGTGGGTCTGAAGCCAACTGGAAATGGCTTTGTCTAGCACAGGGCAGCCTCTGGCTTCTCACCCCCTACAGCACCTCTGCTACCAAAATCCTGTCATGGAAACCCAATATAAATAGTATTTACCATGGGGAATCTAACTTTGCTTCTTGGCCAGTATAACTGTTAAATAATGTGCCACCAGTTTTCTTTACTCTGGTAATGGATACCAGCTCTGAAAGGATAACTGCTTTTTTACGTTTTGGGTGTGGCATCAGTGTTAGTTCAGAGTCTTGGGATAGCTGTCCTAATCAGATTCACATTTCTTTTTTCTTTGTTTTTCTTGGTATGTGAGTGCCACTGTAGGAAACAGTTGGGCAGTATTCTTTGAGCTTCTTAGAGGGGAGAATATTAACTATTTTCGGAAGTTAATTTGAGGTATTTAAAAGCAGTATCATATAAATTTGTGGATCATGTGGTTATTTCTGCTCGGACTAAACGAAGTCATTAATTCCCGGATTATTTCAGCAGCACATGTTGTCCATCAGTGAAACAACTTAGCTTGGCAGAGATCTGGGAGCAGGGATGGAAGACAAAGAGCTGCCTGAGTAACTTAAACAAGGATGATGCAGGGATCGGGAGCACTTAGGAAGTTGAAGGGAGGTACCAGTGAAAATCATGTAAGCAGAACATGAATAATGTAAGAAAAGACTTAGCAGCTTCTGATTTGATTATGTGTAGTAGTAATGGAAAAATATACAAATCGATTACATCTAAATTATTTGGCTTGACTTAAAATGCAATTCTGTGACCTAGAAGTAGTAAGCTTTCATTTTTACTCCTGAGAAATTCTTGTATTGACATTTTTGTCTTGGTTTTTGCTTAGCCATGTCTCTTAACACTACATGTTCAAGCCTGAAACAAAACTTTAAACTGTTAAGTAAACTTTAAGTTACTGTTCTCTACTTTAGCTGCTTCCTTACCTGCTTGTGTAGATGCTTTCTGTTAAGATGCTTAAGGAACTCATTTCAGGCAGCAGTTATGAGTTGTATTAGTAGGTATTACTTCAACTCATTGTTTTTGTAATATCTGCAGTCTTGCATAAAAGCATGGTTCAGTGGATTTTGGCAGTTACTCACATACGTACTAGCTTGTAAAACAGATTGTAGGTTAGAAGAGCCAAGCAGACGCTTAAGAGGTGATCAAAGTGATATAAGTGCAAGGCAGCACCTCTGAAAGCTGTTCTGTGGCAAGTGATTGAATACAGGTGTGTGTTGTAGCTGAGGCATAAGAGGAAGTGGCCTGGCAATGGATCAGTTCAAACTGATTGTAGTGGAGGAGCTTACATAGCATGAGGCATGGTTGCATTGAGATCCTGGTTTCAGAAGGAAATAAGGTTGTCTTTCATTGAAAGTTAGACTTAATATAAATCAAAGGTTGTTTGCTTTGTTTGGTTGGTTGGGGTTTTTTTTTCCCCATTATGGCTTTACTAATTCCCGTGTGTTGTTTGACTGAGACACAGTCTTTTTCTTTTCACCTGTTCTATTATAAAAGCTTTTCAGCATCAGTTGATAAATAGTCCTGCTGTGAGAACACGAGGTTTTGATTAAGTGCTGTCCTTTGGTCTGAAGTTGAACGTGTACTCCTGTTCTCAGGGGCTTGGATTCCTTCTCATTTATGCTGACACAAATGATTTTGTAAATTCTCATGGCTAAGTGTATTTAGAGTCTTTGAAGATATTCTAGTTGGTTCAAAGCTAGTAAAGAGCATACAGTAGTAGTAATAATATTGTCAATGACAGATTTGTCCTTTGCTATAGGTGGCGAGTAAAAGGCAACAGTGAGTGTTGCAGCTCCTGCTGAATTGTTTTTCTAACCTATCTTAAACTTTATGGGGCAGGGGAAGGAAATTACTTATTCTTTTGTTTACCCAGATACAAAACGATACCCAACTGGAGGTATGCTTTTAATTTTAGTCGGGTTGATACCACTTGATGAGGCCCAGTTGGGCTGCCTAAGCTGCAAGCTCAACTACTAGTCTGAGTCTTGGTATTCTCTTAATTGTAGGCCAAGTGTTAGTTAATAGACTAGGAATGAGGAGTTGATTGGTTTGCAGTCAGTTGAGGTATGAGGAAAATCTAGGCAGGAACATAAGGAACTCTTCTGTGAAAGAACTAAGTCAGCTGATGCTTTGAAATTGCGTAAATGTAGGTCGATGTTAATTACAAATCACTTATGGTTCGCTAGTCTTAATAGCTTTTTGAAAATACAGGATGAACTAAGGTAGAATGAAGGCCTTTAATATTAGACTTTTCAATCTCATGGTTAATGGGACTGGAGTTTATGTTAAAATGGGAAAAGGGGTCTTTTTCAACTACTTAACTACTTCTGAGAGTGTTATGCATCACTTTGGAAGACAGGCATATTCCAGAGGAGATAAGGACCTCTCTCTACTGCTGTAGTTGGCAAAAGGTAATGAAGTAATGTGAGCTTCAGACTCTGTCTTAATTCTTTTCAAACATCTATTTCCTCTACAGATAATACAGATAATACAGATAATAATTAGTGGGATTTTGCTGTGGAGAGGTAAAATCATAGTACACTTAAATATGTAGGATTGTGTGAGTTAATACTTACCTTGATATTAATATCTATATCAGTACCTAATAAGGCTTACAGTATTTGAGCTGTTTTATAAATGATGTTCTAATATTCTGAGTTTGCAGATAGCTTATCTTCAGAATCTGATGAACAATAATAGCATTGTAACATTGAATATCTTTAATGAGCAGTTGTAACAAAATTTTTAACCTTTTCAAGATGGCTGTGTGCCAAGTTTTAAGGTTAATAAAATAATTTAAACCACAGAACTCCCCCATTGATGTGGAAGACCATGCATTGTGTTCCTGCATATAGAATTTGGAAATAAGCCTATCTAGATTGTCTCAGGTCTGGAAATCAGAAAGTGTTACCGTCTTGGGAAATTCAGCATGCTTATCTGAGCGTATTCTATGACACGGGTTTCTAGGAAGTACGGTGAACCTGTTGGAGGTGTAACTGAACGAGTTTGCTACCTGGGCTCACCTTGGTGTACCATTGCCCAACACTCCCCACCATAGAAATGAGAGGGAGCACCTGATTAAGAGTTGAAGAATGAGTTCCTGAACTAGCTTGTAGCCCTGGAAAAAACACAGGAACAGCTCTTGTAGAGGGCTGCGTGGAGAATGAAGTCGCTGGTTTGGGTGCTCTATTTGGGCATAATAAAAACACTTTCCTGGTTTTTAATGAAGATCTTAAAGAGCAGCCTTATTTCTCCAAATCTACTTGATTCAGACCATTTGTAAAAACTGAAAGAAATGAAGCCACCTTTGAAAGAAGGTAGCTTCTTTCTCTAAAGATTGAAAATGAGAAGGAAATGGTGAAAACAATGTAGACATATCTGAATATTACTTTCAGTTCCCTAAACTTACTGCCAATTTGCTTGAATTATTCCTGTTTAAAATAAACTTCTTATATTATGATTATATTCAGGGACTAAATTATCTAGCTTTTTCAGCTGTTTGCTTATTTTAATACATCCCTTTTGTTGTGGCTTAACACCAGCTGAAACAAGGACACCCTTAAGACCTGAAAAGTCAATCTTAACTGATGTGGAGCCCATCTTAACTGATGTGGTTGGTTTACAAAATCTTAATTTACTCCTGGTAAACTTAGTTTAGGGTTTTGTATGCCACTTGGCTGAGCCGAGAAATTCTGTTCTTGCTTTTTACATCAGGCAGTTCTGTAATAGTGTGGAGAAGCTTGCAAAAACAGCCTGCTGTTGCTGATTTTAAAAATGATAGCAGTATCTGATTTAATTACAGTGATCCTTAAAAATTTTTATCTGTACTTATCTGTGCTTATGACTTTCTGGCTAAATAACCACAGCTGTTGTTTCTATTTCAAATTACTGAATAGGATATGCACTCTAAAGGAAGATTGTGGGGCAAATGACTCTTCTAGTGCAACTAAAAGGATAGGAAGCTCTTCTAGAACTTTTACCAGAAGAGAGAGGCCTCTGGCAGTTCTGATGTAGTAATCTCATTTTAATCACTTGTGGATACATAGTGGTTTAGAATAACAGTAGCACTTAACCTGGATTTCCTTGTAACTCAGATATTTTTCCTACTGCCTGAGTATTTATAAGCATTTTTTCTGCTAGTCCCTTCCCAAGTCTTTACTTCATAGTTAAGTTTTTAGGTAATGTAAACCTTTTAGTCAAAATACTTTGTGAAGTTGATGATTTCTATAACTTGAACCTTGAAAATTTCTTTGAAATACTCAATACTGCTGATTAACTGAGAAGACTTGCAGGCAGAAGAAAGAAAGGCAGACCTAGTATGTGGGCTTGGTTACTTGAATTTTACTCATTTCTAGTGATTTGGTCACTGAGTGTGTCTGAGTAGGGTTACAGAAGGGGCCTCTTGCTTGGAAAAGGTTAAGCTGTGCATAGGTTGCCTTGTGTTAGAAGGTGAGCACACAGGTGTAGTGGCCAATCACACTCTGATTTCCCTTAATTAAACCCAAATGCATGTATATAGTTAAGATTTTTCCGTATGATATGGCAAGTACAGGTTGTGCATTCTGCTGAATGCTGCATTCATTTAATGTCTCATCTGCATTCGTAATACCACTTTTCATTTACAGCTAGATTCTGTATTGCACATGATGTACTTTAATGCTTGTTTCTGAGCTTAGTGTGTCTACCTGGTAAAGAGGTAGTTTTCTCAGATGATCAAATCTTCAAATGTTTGACATAAGCTCTGGTTAACAAAGTAAACATTTTGTTAGCACTTCTCTTAAGTATTTACCAAAAAATTACTGTTTCAAATATGCGTAATCTCTGAGGCAGTCTGAGGTCATTGGTCCTTTATTGAAGCTTAGGTACATCTTGACTTGTATCAACTGCAAGCACTTTCAGTTAAACTGTAATAAATCTTTACTTTTAGATTGTGTGGGGAGTTTTCTTCATCATTGTGGCGCTACTCTTCACTGTCTCTCTGTTCTTGTCAAAGTAAGTAATTTCATTTTTTTTTCTTAACCACTTAAACTACATGGTTTCTGTTCTGACATCAAAATCGGGGGTGGTTTGCTTCAAAAGTCAGCCCACTTTGCAACATTTTTTTTTTTAGCTAGAGCTGCATTTCTCATTCTAATAGTGTATATTACACTGAGCAAAATGTACTAAAACAGATTCAAAAAAGGACATGGTTCAGCTTGATTGATGATCTGCTGCTAAAAGCAGTTCTGATCCAGCCAAAAAATTAAGCATAGATTTTAAGGAAGTTTAATTCAGACTACAGAAGTACTCTGCTTGCTTGAATGAATCTTAATGTATGTGGGTACTTCTTGGGCTGGGTAATAGGTGTTTAAATTCTTGCATTAAGTTACATATATAATCCATTATGATGTGCATTACATTGTAATTGTTTCATGGTGTTGAAGTCAATATAGCTAGCTGCAAATCTGATGAATTTCAATGAAGATTGATGGTAACCATAGGTCTCAAATGTTGGCATTTTTAATTTTGCCGACTGGGCAAATAAGCCCTATGACCCAAACTAGGGAAAAGCTAAAATGCCAAGGAGGTGCAGAAATCGATATACCTTTTCACAGGACGAGTGCAATGAGTGTGGTAAAACAAAGCATATGTCTGTGTAGATATGAAAAAGCTGTCAGTCTCTGAGCTTAGTTCAGTTTCATTTTGAGTTGCCCTTAAAATCAAACTGAAGACAAGCCTCTGGGAGAACCATAGAACCAAAACTTACGGAGTTTTTCTGAATTACCACAGTTTGGACAAAGCTCTGCATTCGGCTGGCTTCGACTCAGGATTTATAATTTTAGGAACTAATCTGACCAATCCGTTGAATATGTTGTTACCTGTTCTTCAGACAGTAAGTAGAGAAACTGGTGATTATACACATGTGTGGATACTTCTCTCTGTTTTCTGGTAAGCTGTCAAAGGCAAACTGCCATGTTCCCCAGGTAATTCATTTAAATAAAAAATTGTCTAGTATGTGTTCTTTAAAATCAAGGCAACTTCATTGTTAACAATATTTCAGTTACTAGATACCGATACGAAAATCTTGATTTGCTGCAGAAGGTGCTGCTTGAAAGTAATTTGTCTGATGAGAACATAGAGGAGATGAAGAATGACATCACTTGTACAGAATAAAAGCAACTTTCTCCCATACCCTACATCACATTCTAGTTGTTGGTGTACTTGGTAGTTTATCCCCTTTAAGTTGAAGTAAATGCACTTTTTAACTTTTTAGTATATTTATTGCACTTTGAAATATATATTACACTCTGTGTTTGTGTATGTTACAGTAATGCTTTATTTTTGAAAAAAAAAAAAAACAAACTAGACCCCACAACAAAACCCTACATAAGAACAACCACCTGTTAACTTCAGTAGGGTTGGAAGGCAACATGGCCACATAGGAATTTGGCAGTTGGTTGTGGGTAAGCTAGGAAAAGCAAAAGCCATAATGTAAACTAGTGCTTTACTTTCCCCTAGTTGAATTCTTTCCATAATCTTGTTTTAATGGGTTGGCACAATGCATTCCTTCCCCGTGGTTTCCAAAACATTTGAACCCCTAAGCTTCCAGTTTATTCAGAAAAGTAATGCTCAGCAGTGGTATTCTTTAGAGCTGTTATTAATGTAAATCTGAAATTAAGTTTTGTATGCAAATATGTTCAGAAATGTTTAAAAAGAGAATGCCTGTACAGTCCTAAAATGACTTGCCACTGTGGACTTATTTAAATGTACTCTCAAGAATAGAGTTAAGTATTTATTGTCCTAAAAATACATAACACTATGAAAATAAGGCAAGTTTTAAATTAAGAAAAAAGCTCAGTTGCTTTCCCAAACTTATTGTATAAGCTATATTAGCTCTATTTGGAGCCAGCTCTGTAAAACTTGTGAAAGGTCTTCCACTAGTTCAGATGCTATAAGTAGAAACTACTTATGTAGCTTTAAGGGGGGGGAGAACTTGTTTCTTTTGTGTTTTTAATTGCTTGTTATTCTTGTTCTAGGTTTTCCCATTGGATTATATTCTTATTACAACTATTGTTATGTACTTTATCTTCACTTCAATGGCAGGGATTCGAAATATGGGTATATGGTTTTTCTGGATAAGGGTAAATATGACTTAAGAGTTTAGTGTATAATATTCACTAAGATGTTTAACAAATATGTGATATCAAATATATTTAATAAATAGTCATTATTTATGTACTGCTTTATAATGCTATTTGCAACATCCAATATTTGTCTGTATACCTAATAAGTGTTAGAAGCCTGTTGTACAATTTTCACGGCTTTTGGGAGGTGCTCTGTTACAGATAAAAACTGCTGTCTTAGTTTGACAAGCCGTATGGTCAGGTCACTCAAGCATTTAATCAGTGGCATTTTGGCTTCTGACTTTTCTAAGTTGCAGTATTTCAGAATCTTATAGCTTAAAGTATTAACGAATTTTATGGTCAAAATCTGAGATATGCATACAGTCAGTGTGTTTTCCTTGCTTTTCAGGTGACAGGCAGGTTTAGCTTGATTAGATATATAATGGTACAGTGGCATGGCAGGGGGATTGGGCCTGGATGATATTAAGGTCCTTTCCAACACTAACCATCCTATGATTCTGTGATACTAGAATTACTTGATACTGCAAGGAATATGTAAATATTTGAAAAAGCAGCTTAATATCCAACAGTAGTATGCCATTCATATCTGTAATGCTTGGTTAAGTATTTACTTGCTTCTGTGCCTACTTTCAATTTAATACTGTCACCCTTTCATGTGCTGACACCATAAAGTGACCCTGAGTCCTTGCATGGAGTTCACATGTGCTGTTGGTTTTGGTCTCCCATCATTTACCCTTCCCAACTGCCAGCCCCTTTACCCTAATATGATACTCAGGTTGAGGCTTAGGGATTACAGAATAGTGGTATCTACAGGGTAACAACAAGGTGTTATATTGCTCCCTGCAGTGTTAAGTGGAAAAGGTGGTGCAAATTTTCTCAGGGCCTGGGAATCTCTCAGAACTCCTCCTTGTCTAGATGTCATTAGAGGTGTATTGATAGCACCTCACCATGACCAAAGGACACAATATTCTTTGACAAAGCAAGGCACAGTTTATCAGTGATAGGCAACACTATTTAAATCTTGCTGCTAACTGCTGGTGTGTTAATGTTCTGGATCATTATTACAAGCAATGTGGTTAAAAAGCTGTGCTTTGAAATGTAGGTAAATGTACCTGGAAACCTGCTTTGACTTACTGGAATTAAGTTGCCAGAGGGTAATTTTAGCAGCCTCCCACTTCTCAGTAGAATTAGAGCTGTAACTTGAATTAAACAGGTTTTTAAATGTCTTTGGGGGGGTGGGAGGGGAGAAAATTTTTTCGTTAATATTTGTTTTCTGGTTTCAGCTTTATAAAATCAGAAGAGGAAAAACTCGACCTCAAGCACTCTTGTTTCTCTGTATGATACTTCTGTTGATAGTCCTTCATACAAGTTATATGATCTACAGCCTTGCCCCTCAATATGTAATGTATGGAAGCCAAAAATACCTGGTACAGGTGAGATGTAATACTTGTTTTCAAAAAAAAAGCCAAAAAAACCCCTAAACATTACATTGTGTCAAATGCTCTGTTTACAGCAGCTTTTAAAGTCAGACCCATTCTCAGTTTTGAAGACTCCTTTGTAGGCAGGTTTTTTAACTGAACAAGACAAGAAACTGGTTGTACTATATGTTACACAATTTCTAGTTTCATTTTCAGACAGTGTAAAACTGAGTATTACTTTGCTTCTTTTGGCAAGACAGTTGCTAGCGTCCAGTAGGTTTTGTACTGGTATGGTTAGGTTGCTGTCCATGACAGTTGCAATGGCTGTCTGCAGTTGATAGTTTTTATGTATATTTTTCTGAGAAGTGGCAAAGATAACTTACTACAGCAGGGGATAATAATCAGAATGAAGCTAAGCAGATGCAGATTATCATATTTCAAATGCTTTGGACTGCCCAATTTATTGAAACACATTGCAGTTCTTGTTCTATAAAATATTCTATGGAACTAAATAGTAAAAACACTTTTGTTATTTGACTTTTGTGTACTTGTGTTTTGGTTTTTTTCAGGTCCTTTTTCTTCTGTACCTGAAGGCTTTAATTCTTTATATGTCATCTTAGTTTCAGTGGAGGACTGCATATTTATGGGGAAGTTCAAAGTTTCAAATCATAAGCATCTTGGGAGGTTCTGTGGACAGTTGTTTACCAAGATCTGATATCTTACAGGGGTAGGCTTTGTTATATCTGATATGGCAAATATAGGCTGCTAAGTGGGTCATGAACTGATTGATCATATTCAGACGCAGTGGAGTTCAGATTTGTTGGTGTGCTGTTTGGGATTAAAGTTTCACAAAGGAAAACAATTGAGCTAGGGTGGCTGGGAGAAGGGATTTGCATGAGACCAAAGAAACTGGGTGCTGCTTTGAACATTTGGAATACTTCTGTTAGTTTTCCAGAAGGCTGTGCCTTTGGAAGGAGAGCACACTGCTTTAAAAAGGAATAAAAAAATTACCCACCAACCTTCTTCAGCTGAAAATTTTTAGTGAAGTGTGTAACTTATGCCTATCAAGTCTTTCAGTTTAAACAGAGTAGATGCAGAATGCTTAGAGCAAAAGGATTGCAAGGAGAAATTGAAGGAACCTGATCAACTTAGATTTGTTGAGTGGATGTGAAGAATTGCCACTGCAGGAAGTGAAGCATTCAATAAATGTTGCTTTCCTGCTGTCTTTACATCTAAATTGTGTCTGGTAATGGAAGGTTGGTCATCCTGATACCAATCCAAGCACAATAATAGAATCACTGCAGGGGACTTGAATATTTGGTGTTTAGGAAGTTTAATGCATTTTTATTTGATTTTATGCTAGGTACAACTAATACAAAATAAACATGCTCAATTTGTCAGAATCTGTGCAGTAACAGCAAGAAGCTGAGCTGAAAATCAGTTTAGGAAAGTGGCTTGCTCCTGTGGTGAGTTTACATAGAGCTTCTGTCATAATTACTTACTGTATATGTAGCCTAGAACATCATTACTGATTTAGATATATCTATGAACTCAAGTCCCTGTAAAACGCAATTTGTCTTTTTTTTTTTTTTTATATTGTAGGGTGGTTGCATATCTCTCATTGCAGTGCAGAACCATCATAGGTGAAAGGGTGGGAAGGACAGTTTAAGATCTTGCCAAGCTAGTCTCTAAGCCTTTCAGACCTGAGAAAAGACTCCTTCGTGATAAAACTTGCATATAAAATGGAATATTGAAGGGAAATACAAATAATATAGACTGTAGGTAGCAGTTTGATTTGTTATGAATAAAATGACAATGTTTCAGTAAGTGCAGAAGGATTGGGACTTAAACAGCTAACATGCAGGTGTTTGTTACAACAAATAATACCTGAAGATAGTTTGTAATCAAATGGGTCAAGAGAATGAAATGAAAAGGGTCAAAGGAACACAGCAGTAAAGAGGCTCTTATGGCGTTCAAACAGCTATTGAAATGCAGTCCTGGTCAGTGCTGCAAGAAGAATTAACTGGAATAATTGAGTAGAGCTACAACATTTCATTTAAAGGATTAAAAAAAATGTGAAGGTCAAGATAGCCAGCCTGGGTCTTTAGCTTCTTTTGTCCAATTTCAAAGGGCTATGTTTAAAGTGCATCAAATAACATGGGTAGAAACTGGTTTTATTGTTAATGTAACATGAGGCTTATAGAGTATGGTGGTAAATCACATCTGGACTTCTCTGGCATACCAAGTAAATGCAAAGGTTTCAGACAACATCCTCTCTAAGAATCTTTCAGAATGTACCAGACATGTTTTCTGTGCTGAAAACCGATATACATACCTGATAACTGGATGTTAAATTTATATATTTTGAAATGAGAGATGGTGGCTATGAATGAAGAGGAGGGATGGATTTCTTGTGGATGTTAGGGATGAAGAGGTTCTTAAGAGTTATGAATCAGTTATTATGGAACTGAGGAGGGGTCAAGAACATACACAGGAACTGGGCAAATGAAATAAACTTGTGGGTATGGCAAGCTTCCTGGTAATGCACCAGTTTTCTTGGACAGTCTAGATGTTCATTGCTCACACACACCACAGTCAGTTTCATCAGTTAAAATAACGCCATTGGAAACCAGCGCTGCATAAAACCAAACAATAAATAAATGATATTCCAAGTTGACACAGTGGATGTGTGGGCTGATAAATGTGTGTCATAATCTGGTGGCTCACAGTGTGTGAAAGCAGCACTTCTTCCTTTTCTTTACAGTAATTCTCAATCTAGTAACCTATCAAACTAATTTGTAACCAAAATCTGTAATGATGCCTTAGACATTTTAGACAAATTTTAGACAATAGACAAATTGCAGGACACTGAGTGTCTTCATTGTTATAATCAGGAATCCAGAAATACTGCTTAGATGGCCAAGTACGCATACAGGTCTAACAGATCCTGAACATAAGCAGGAACAAATTAGATATGCTGTAACTTGACCCTTTATACTTGTTACATAATGGATTGCTATTTTCTGAAGTGTCCAAAATGTGTTGGATCTTGAAGCGCACAGACTGAGTTACTGTACTTGGTTTTGTCTTCTGCTTGCCCTTGAGGCATCCTGCTTTAGACAAGATAGAATTCTGTTTGAATCTTGAGCTGTTTCCTTTAGAAGCTGTTACTCTTGACAAGACCTTTGAAGTGCTGTAGACTTCTGGCAACTGAGTATGTGTAGAAAAATGGAGTTCTTGGGAGGCCATTTATGTTAGACCTAGGCTTCTTGCTTTATTTAAGTCTTGGACCATTAGGGTGTTCAGAACATGTGTCCTCAGTTAATCAAAAGTGTCTTCAGCTGTGATGTCTTTAGAAATTTTTTGAAAGTTTGTTTTGGATACAGTACCCTTACTGAGGCCCTGTACAGGGCTTTGGTTAACTTGCATAGCTCTTCAGGCACTGAGCAACACTTGGCTTCATCTCTTAAGACAAACTTTGTAACATCTGCTTAACAGCTATGAGTCTGTTTATAGACTTTCACAAAAGTAAAGATTTCTGTCCACATCCAGGCCTTCTCACTTTTGTAGCAAAATCATAACTTTGCCTGTACTTTAAGGTGTAATTGCTCTTTCTGTTATTCAAGGCCAAGTTTTGTTTTTGATTTGTCTGAAAGAAAGAGAACGGCTTGCTGATGTTTCTACCTAGTGGACCTGTAAGACTTGGCTGGCCCAGACAGGAAATAGGCCAGAATTGGCTGTAGGTGACACTGACCCTCCTCTCCAGCTGAGGGCCAGAATAGCAGCAGTCACTTTTGTTCCTCAGCCTTCACAAATCCGTAGGAGTGGAGCTAAATTGCAGGACACAGAGTGACTTCTTTGTTATAATCAGGAAACCAGAAGCACTGCTTAAACGGCCAAGTATGCATACAGATCTGACAGATCCTGAACATAAACAGGAACAAATTAGATATGCTGTAACCTGACCTTTTATACTTGTTACATGATAGATTGCTGTTTTCTGAAGTGTCCAAAATGTGTTGACTCTTGAAGCACACAGACTGAGTTACTGTACTTGGTTTTGTCTTCTGCTTGCCCTTGAGGCACCCTGCTTTCAGCTTTGGACTGGTTGTAATATCTGGAACACTGGAGTGTCTTATTCTGACAATACTCTCATGAAAAATATCTGAGACTGAGTGGTCTACTGTATAATGTTAGGTAAAAATTATTTTTAAGAATTGTTCTGTAGACACATCTCTGCTGTCACTTATCCATCTTTTCCATGTCCAGTAATGTTCTCTGCACCCTGTGGGGCAAAAGGGACTCTACCTCAAGTGTATGTATGCTAATATTAAAGTGCTGAGACAACAGCATTAAAGGCAAAGTTCTCATATCTTTTCTGGGAAATTGGCACAACTTGGGTGCCCCTAAAGTATTTGGATACTAAGGTACACAGCAGGGAAAAAGCAGGAGTTAGAAGTTTGCATGCAGTTGCAGGTCTGCGGATCAGAAATGCAGTGAAATAGTTTGCACTGCCAGAGTGCTGCTGTGGCTAGATGTGGGCTTTAAGAACAGCAGGCTGGGATGGCTGAGAGGGAGAGTTGACCTTCAGGTGAGAGAGCAGTTGGAATGCATGGAGTTTTGCCTTGGGGTGGATAAACCAGCTAAATGCTTACAGGTTAGTATTAGAGGGCAGATTATTGTGAGTAATATTGTCTGCTGGGGAAGTAGCAAGTAACTTCATGTTCACAGGTCCTGGTCCTCACAGGAGGCTTGAGCCATCCAGGTATCTGCTGCAAAAACCAACGCAGTTGAGTACGGGCAATCCAGGAGACACCTAAAGTGCACTGATGACAACTTCGTGATATAGGCAACTGAGCTGAAATAAGATGTTGTCTTGGATCTGGTGCTGAAAGCAAGGAAGAAGTGATTGAGGGCAATCTTGGCTGCACTGAGCATGAAGTGGTGAAAGTTCAGAATCCTGAAAGAACAGGGCAAACAGTAGGTTCGCAACCCTGGACTCAGAGTAGATTTTGGCCTGTTCAGGCCTGTTTGGAGGAGTTCTAGCATGTAAAAACCAATTCTGTGCTGGCAAAGGTGTAATTTTTTTTTTTTAATTTCTTTCACTGGATGAAGTGATACTGAGCTCTTGTTGAGTCTTACCATAAATATGGTTAGGTTTTAGTTAATCCTTGAATATAAGCAGTAGCTTCTTTTCTGTGTGTTAGCCGTAATACTTCTGTAGTTTGCTTTGTGTATTACTATCTCTATATTAAAGAATATTAAATTTGACTGTTAGAAATTCTGGCCACATAAAAATGAAAATGGTGTTCAACTGAGTTATTACAGATTACCATTCCTCTTAGCATGGCAAATGTGGCTCTTAATTTCTTATTAGGAAGGGTTAATACTATGAAATGCTTTACTTTATATCTCTGGTTTGGAATACATAGTTGGTTTTGGGGGTTTTCACATCTGCTTTGTGAAAAGATGGAAATACTTCAGTGGACGCCTACAAGGTTTTTTCTTGTATAGGAGAAATAAAAGGATTGCTAGGGAAAAAGAGGCTGGTTTTATGACTTTAAGGTACACCCCAGTGCCTTCAGCTTGTGAAAAGCATTTAGAGTTGAAACCAAGTATGTCAAAAGTCTTAAATTACAAGAGTGTTCATGGAGAGCAAGATTGACACTTAGACCTGCAAAAAAAATGGTAGATGTTCCCAAAGGAAACCCACAGGTCTAGCTATTGTTGCATGTTGTATTTTCAATTCTTACTATGTAAAAAGCAAATTGAATAAAGATAAGATGAAATTTTGAAATAGGAAGATTGATCTGTGCTTTTTGTATGCCCCCCTGTACAGTTTGTAATTCTGTTCTTCTGAAAGCAACACTCTATGACTGAGCAGTATAAGCTGCAGTGGTGACAGCCAGCTGGAATGCATCCTGGAGATGGGCCACTGCTGAATTTGCACTGAATAATTGAAATTTTATGTATTCTGTTCTTATCCTATTTTTCTGTCTACTCATTATTCTTGTACTATTGGTTCCACTTTAGTTCCTGATTTCTGTACCTAAAATTGTACTCCTTTTGGACCAGTTTTTTCTAAGGCCTTTTTCTACGTAGTGGTCTCCATGCTTCCACGTATTTGCATGAATTGAAACTAGCTGCTCATACAGACTGCTGCTTTTTAGGTTAGACATATGGTTGTTTCTCTTGAATGCTTCGATTTAAAGCTGAATTTGCTTAATACTGAAACTTTCTCAAGTTGTCAGGTAAATGGTTTTATGTATCAGCTTTTGCTGATTTCTGGTAGGTTTTAAAGGACGTTGTTACTTCAGCCTGAAGAAGAAAGTGTTGACCCTTACCGGTTTCTTTAGAGGGCTTCCTGTTTAGGAAATCATGAGGTTGAAAGTAAATACAGTAGATATGAACTGAACTGAATATCTGTAGATATTTGAATTGAATTACTGTATGAAGAAATTGGTGTAGTACAAAGGATTTGCATTTAACTCTACTAAAATCATTCACTGATTATTCAGAAGTGAATGTGCATAGAAAGTTTGAGTAGTCTCTGAAAGGGTCATCTTTTCAAAGGTATGAGGCGTTTAAACAGGTGTATTTGGGTTTTCAGTACTTCACTTGAGCATAATTCGTCTTCCTCCACTCTGGCTATCTAAGAATATCAGATACAATTGTTGGCTTTTAGACCAGAAGATTGCTGTATTGGGTGTCTTTATGTAAGTTTAACACTTCCATGGTGTCTTCAGCACCAAAGTTGAATTCCAGATTCATTTTATGCACTGTAAAAAAAGTTTAATTTGAGATAAAACTTTTATTTTTCATGAGTCTGCAAAAAGTACACAAGCTATTATTTTTTCTAAATGAAAGCATACTTAAAAATGTTTGTGTTGTACCACTTACAGCTTACTTTGCATATGCAGTTCCAAAATAGTCCTAATGCTTGTGAATATTGTAAGAGATTTGTGAAAGCTTTTTTCACAAAATTAATAATTTATCGAGAGATGTTTGTTTCAGGGACTGTCACTGTGTACGAAGAGCATTGCTGGTAGGTTAGTGTACTAATTTTCCTTATTTGTAACACAGAGTAATAAGACAATTGGTGGCCAGCCAAGGAATGTGACATACGTATCTAAAGACTGTGATGCAGATGCACCTGAAGGTAAGATAAATTCATTTCTTTTTTTAACTATGTGATAATGTGCATGATCAGCTTTAGTAAGTGGCTCAATTTTTTTGTGTTTGCTTCAGTCTCATATGAAGTTTTGATCATAGCTATACCCAGAAAACAGCTTGCTTACAACTTAATTCATTTGAAGAAACACCTTTTTTTTTTTTTTAGTAGAAACCATGTGTAACAACACATTTTGCTTAATTTTAAAATCTTCTATTTGCTTTTGCATGTATGTAGAAGACCTTAAAAATTAACCCTAGCCAATGAAACATAAAGGTGGATTTTGTTTTTTCATGTTACCTTTGTCCTTCCTTTCCTTCTGCATAGAAACACTTTTTCACAGTTGCCATTAGTACTAGGCATTGCAATACTGATACTGCTGTTTAAGGTCACCATCAATTGTATTGATTGCTTTTGTGTCTTGTTTAAAAAATTGATTTTAGCAAAAGATTTATGGCCTTCAGAATGGACCATGTTTTTTCAGGCTAAAGCTCTCAATTGTTCTCATTCTGGCAAACTTTCAGCTCCTCTGAAGGAGCTGGAAAGGGGAGTTAAATTATGTATGCCTTTATATAGTTACAAAAAGTCTTGAAAGTGCTTGTTAATCGGTGGGAAAGATAAGATGAGAATACAGGACAGCTGTTTATTATCAGTATTCTGTAACTACTGAATTCTGACTTTGCTTCTAAAAGGTCATATTAGCTCCTCAGGTTTTTTTCCTACTTGTGTTACTGGGAAAGATAATATTTTTAGTAATTTTGTGCTAGTGGAGACAGCCTGACCATTAGGTTTGTTGTGCTGGCTGTTTGTTTTTTTTTTTTTTTCCCAGTCTATCAGGCTGTAGTCTCTTTAGCAAGGTGGTTCCTTGTACTTAAACTCATCTTCAAATATATTTTGTAGGTGTTCATACAACATCCCAAGGGGGATGGATTTTTCTCCTGTCTCTGCCATACTTGAAATAAGTCATTCACTCACATTTATTTTTTTATGGCTACTTTTAGACTTAATGGAGTTTTGGGTGTTTTGATATTTTGACAAATACAGTTGATTGTCATACATGTTTTTCTGATAAAAAAAATAGAAACTCCTTTGCATCAGAGTTTAAAAGAGAAAAATCTGTCATCTTTCAAAATGAGATCACTAAGCAGGTTGAACAGGGCTTTGTTTCTTGTAAATAGCTTCTTGGCTTGGCTAGTATCTGCTGGGAGAATATACTCTCTGGCATTGGTAAACTCATTAGTTTTGACTTTTCAGGGAGAAATTCAAATAGTTTGATTTCCTCAGACTTTGTTGCTTCATAGTAGGAGCTGGGGTTGGGCTGAAATAAATTTTGCGAACTCCACCTGTGCTTGATGATGGTTTTTTTTGAGTATTTTGAATACTGATGCTTTAGGCTAGTGTTCTTATCTGTTGAGCACAAGAGTTGGCCTGTGTAAATGATGGATTTGGTTTGTCATCATTAACATGTGTTGATGCATGGGGTTTCTTTGGGAAAGGTTCTCGATTCTTAATAGGAAAGAGGTAGAGAAGGTATTGATATGCTGTCCCTATGCTAGCCTAGTGTAAATAGAATATAGATGGATATTTCTCAAGTGGGAACATTAATGTGATCAGCAGGCTATACTGGAGTTATGTTAATATAGATACAGTCAGGCCATTAAAGTGTTCTTGTAAGTAAAAGTTTCTTTTATAATTATTAACTTAAAGCATTAGTGAAAACACAATTTTTGTAGAAAGTAGAAATGTAATGCTTGCCTTGGAATACCTGCCACTTTTAATATCTGATAGTGAAAATTGATTAGAGTAACTGTTTCTATGCTCTGTGGTCATATAGAATATGTTGACAAGTGAAGCTGATTTTGAAGGTAGGAACTAGATTTCTAAATACAATTGCACTTTTTTTTTAAGGAGACACAGAGTGGAAATAGATGCAAATAACTCCAAGTTAATACAAAAGTTGACCAAGCACTTGCAGTTTTTATTGACTTCTCTGGTACTAGGGTTTTATCTTACGTAAACCAATGAACTGGAACTAAATGCAAATACTGATTTGTGTTCTCAGTGCTTTATTTTGTTTTATTTAAACTGAGTGAACTCTAACAGATGTTTTTCCTTAAACATAAAGCAAACTGACCTTTTAACGGCTCTGCTGCTAGATGAGCTTATAGATATCTGCTCTGATGTATTGAATACTCAGATACTGTAGGTGTGATCTCTGCTCACTGTAACTAAATTTTTTGTCTGAAATAGTAGAAGAGACCTGATCTTGTAGCAACTAATAATTTCAAACTTCAATATTAGAACTTCAGGCTTTAATGGGCAGTGTTTTCTATATGTTTCAAGCCGGTGTTTGGCTTGATGAAAAGGACAGTCTTACCTTCTGGAGAAAAATAAGGCAGTTAAACTACAATCTTAAAAAAAACAAAAACAAAAACAAAAAACCCACACTCATTATACATCTAACTGCAGATTTGTAGGGTTTTAGCGTTATATTATATGCTTTCATGCAGCAAAGCTTGTGTCATGAAATGGGTAGTTTAAGGTTGCTGGAATAGTGGCTGTCAAAAATAGCAGGAGCAGTTTTAATATGAATTTATAAAAGTGAAACTTAACAGAATTTGATGGCAAGGTTCACTCTTACTTATTACATGGATGAAGCATACAAAAGAAAGTTGAAGTAAAATTCAGCTAAAAATTGATAGACTGTCCTGTTGAGTCATGAGGTTTAGAATAGAGCCCTTTGCTCTCTGAAATTCCAAAGGAACCTAGTTGTGTTGTAGCTGGGTGTAATCTTAGTCTTGGACTTGGTCAACATTTTATGTCTAATAGAATGTATAAAAGGAAAATCCAGGTACAATCAAGCTGAAATGAGTGGGGGATTCTTTGGCTCAGGCACCACTGTCAGCAGTGATTCTCCAGTCATCACAAACTCAAGTGTGTGATCTCTGGGGGGTGTGCCACTCAGAGGGAGATGCTGGTCACAGCCCATTGCAATACAGGAGAGCTCAAAGGGCCTCACTTAAAACTACTGTTTATAGGTTTGCAAGATGATTGGCTTTAGTCATTAGTGAATTTTCATCCTGGCCACAAGCCAAGTTGGCAGTTACTAGGAACTTTTCAGAACTCCAGTAACAATGGTATGGGTCCACTTTGTCTACAATCAAGGGAAGGAATTTTCTGAGACTGTCAGGGGATGACCGATTTATCTCTGTTCTTGCTTCCCACCTTAGCCTAGCCAGGGAACAGGAATCCCTGGTATGATCCTGGTATGATCCCTCCTTAGCCATCTAAGTTTCTGGTACTGTTAAGGGACACTTCACCCAACTCGTTACACAAAGGCCAAGGCCTCATGGGAATTCCTGAGAGGAATTCCTAGAGTAGCCCAGAGGATTAGAGCACAGAGTAAGGTCTGTGCACCACCATAAGCTTGTCCCTGTTTAGTTCTGTCATGCAGGAGGCAAATCTCTTTATACTGAATGCCAGAGGCCATAATAGCATAAGTACATGAAACAGACACAACAGAAGCCACGAAGTAATAAAGCAGATGTCCTGGGTTCAGCAGTAGCAGTCATTTTTCTCCTTCTTAGTAGCTGGTGCAGTGCTGCATTTCCAACTTTAGTTTTGGAACAGGGCTCATAACACTGACTATTTTAGTTCTTGCTAAGTAATGTTTACTCTGATCAAGACTTTTCTCAGTCTCGTGCTCTGCCAGTGAGGAGGGGCACAGGAAGCCAGGAGGAAGCAGAGACAGAATGCCTGACCCAAACTAGCCAAAGGGGTATTCCATACCACAGCGCATCATGCCCAGTATATAAACTGGGGGCAGTTACCTGGAAGGCCCAGATCACTGCTCAGGTTGGGCTGGGTGTCTGTCAGCGGGTGGTGAGCGGCTGTATCCTCTTCCCTTGTTATTTCCCTTATCATTATTATTATTGATGGTAGCAGTAGTGGTTTGTGTTATACCTTAGTTACTGGACTGTTTTTACCTCAAACTGTCGGAGTTACGTTCTTCCGATTCTCCTCCCCATCCCTCCCAGAGCAGAGGGAGGAAGAAGAGAGGGGAGTGAGAAAGTGGCTGCGTGGTTCTGAGTTGACAGCTGGGCTTAAACTACCTCAGTTTGTTGCATTTTATAACGCAAAGTATCTTTTCTTATTTACATGTAAAATTTTGCACAAAAGGTTTGTGTTCTGGTTAACACAGACTTTGCAAAAGCTTTTTGAATAGTCTTTTGGAGAGGCAAACTTAATATATTTGTAATAGCAAAACAAGTGTTATTTTTCAGCGTTCAGTACAGTACAATTTGATCATTGTATTCAAGGACTAATCCCAGCTGAACTGGTCAAGGACTAATGGCAGGTCCAAAGTTCAACTGAGCATAAGGTCAAGCAAAGGAGTTCAATTATGTGATTAAGACTCTTGCAGCTGGAGTAATGCATTGAGAACTTCCTGAACTAATTAATATTCCATGTAAATGAGCAATGACTCAGCTGCAAACCTGTATATAAGACTTTTGCAACCTTAATTATGAGATCTGATGTACACTATCTGCTGCCTTCTAGACCAAAAACCCCATGAAATGATGCTTTTTAAGCATCATTCACTTTACATGCGTAATGTGCTATGAATCTCACTTGGATTCTTTCATTTCCTTAATTGGGGAAATGAGCCCTCCCCAAGGCCTGCTAAATGCTTATTACAGTCTGTCTGCTGGGCCTTTTGCGTAGATCTACACTGACTCCAATTGCATGTAAAGTGAGAACGAAGAAAAGTTACCTCCATTTTTATGGCTTTGAACTGGGCAGGACTTACTGTGCTAATCAGATCTGTGCCTTCTTACAGAACTTTCTTGTCAGCTGGAAGTCAACAAGTGCAAGACCTCAGGCTTTATTTTAGCCTGAATAAAGTAGACATTACTCAAGCTGGAAAGGAACACCAAATATGAATACCAAACCAGGAGCGCATATTCTTTGTTCTTCAGAGAAATCCA